GCCTGCCTGCCTCTGGATTTCATGCCTTTGTTGGTGGGGAGGGGGTCAGTCAGACAGAATTGATGGATTGGGGAAGGTCAGAGGCCATTTTTGTCAAAAGTAAGTGACCCTTGAATCAAGAGGTAGCCTGAACCACCACCACCCCCAAAAAATCATGAGTGGATGTGGTTCTCACTGCTCTACTCCTGCTGAGCCTCTGCCTACCCCTCTAGTAATGAAAACTGTTCACAGAAAGACAATGTTTTATGTATATCCCACTCACTTCATGCATATAGTGAATTGCACTACAAGTGTTTTGTTATCTATAGCAATGCTAGAAAGAGAATCAGATTATAACATCACAGTACAATGCTAGATACAGGGCTAAGTAGGAAGATAGTGAAAAGCACCAACATATTCACACTTACCAATATTGCTTACTGTACTTCCCAGGGTCTTCTTCTGAGTAAATGCACTGACATTTGCTCTTAGTTTATAGTCTCCATATTTATAGGGGGGAAAAACATTATTAGATTTTTTTTTCTTAAACCAGAGTGTAAAATCGTTCTTTTTTGGACTTTAGTTCCTACTTTCTTTTGTTTTAGCATTGCTTATTTGTCAGTCCACAAACGTGTTAAAAATGGAATGTAATCAAGGGCTTGGAACAATAGTGCCTTGCACTAATGGGGGTGGTATAAAAATCTATGAAATAAAATTTAAAAATGAAATAAAATCAGCCTTTGCAGCTGCCATTTATGGGAAGAGGAGATAGTGTCCAGCTGCATATCTTTGTTTTTCTGATTTTGCATTGGTTCCACCTGATAGGCTGTTCCCCAACTTGGTTCTCTCCAGATGTCTTTAATTCAGGTCACATTAGAGGATAGCAAGAGTAGTAGAAGGATTAGAATTGCATGTGAAGAAAAGCCCTGGTTCAGGCCCTGAAACTACGGTAGTTAAAAGTATCTCAAGAACCTGGAGGCCTGCCATCAGTCTGCATGTACAATGATTTTAGTGTTTTTAGGAGCAATGGAAAATAATTCCAAATGTCACTGTACAAAGTGTAACAAGAGTAATATATGGAAGACAAGAGCAATACTGAAAAGATCAGTGCTGAGCTGGAGAGCAAGTGCTCTATTTTCTTACAGGATTTTTTTCCCTTCGTCAACAATCCTCTCTCACACCTCATCCAACAGGAGACCCTCCCCCACACACACCTCAGACAGACTTTTTGTAGGACATAGATAGCTCCAGACAGTGAGGAGGCAATAGAAAATATTCCTTTTATAAATCTGTACACCTATCATTGAATCCAAGCCTTTTGACATTTTTCATAGCATGCTAGGTGTCTTCCCCAGCACAAAATCTAGAAATTGTACAACAGTGTAAAAACACCACACACATTACCCGTTTATAATTCAAAATTTCAAATGAATTGAGCTAAGATTCTTTATCTTGTTTTTTATTTAAGTGTGAAAATCCTTCATATATCTTGGGCAACTGTACATATAATACATTTCCATTTAACCATAAACACAATTATCACCACTGTTGAGTGCTATCAAATATTTTATTTACAAAACAATTATTAAGATGTCTGATGTCATATTTCCTTGTAATTATATCTTACCCATAGGGTAATAAGTCCACCATAATTGTTTGGTGCTTTTAAAATTTATAATACAGAAGAAAAAAAGCCCTCTATGTTAATAGTTCCCTACCAAATAAAATCCACAAAGAACTATGAATCCGACCAAAGATACCAATGAAAAAAGACCTTCCCAAAATACAGTATTTTCCCCCACACATAGCATAAAATAGGTCCAAAGGCACAGCTTTGAAGTCTGTACAACTGTATAGATTTCTTCTGGCAAGGCACCAGTAAAGCAGTATTTATACCAAGCTATAGATAACAAAGTATTTTGTTTTTGCACTTTGAATTGTAGCTTTCACATGCTTGCTTAGCTTGACAATATTAATGTAGTTTTCTTAGTCTGAAGTCCTGTTGGTTAATATATTAAGTTGTGACTAAAGTAGGCCCACTGAATTAGTGATGTTCTGGTGAGGCAACTCCATAAGTTCCATTGATTAAATGAATCTACAGTACTGTACTCTAGTTGTGACTTAACTATGCTAAGCAAGAGGACTTCAGCCTTAGTGTGTTAGGTTGAATGCAATCATACTTGCCCCACCCAGACCCAAAGAGCTGTCCATTAGGAGCCTGTGTTGCCCTCCCTGCTGAGTTGCTTTTGTGCCAGCTAACACATCCTACATTGGAGCCAACCCTGCTATTCAGCAGAGTGAGGCAAGTGCCTCATGGATGCTGAGGCAGGTAATATCATAATTCTTCCCTGCCTGTTGAAGGAGAGAACTGTGTATGCCATATAAGCTCTTGTGGGTCCTTTAAAGTAACCTGCTAGCTCAGGTGTGGAGGGGAGGGCACTCTCCACTTGCCAGCATTCAAGTGATTTTCAATTGCCAATATTAGTTCTGTTGAAGAGTCATGCCTGAAATCAAGACAAAAGCTAAAAAGATAGTGGAGATGTGAGATGCAGGTAAACCCTGACCCACCCCCATCCTCTGCCCACTCAGAAGTCACATGTTTGTGTGAACATAAAAATCTGAAGCCTTTAAGCATATTTAGATGTATGCCTGCATCTCCACCACCACTTTAGCCTTCCCTCATGATTTTGGGTATTCACTTGCTGATATGTAAATAGGGCTCTAGTCAATTTCTGTACATCAACAGGGCCCCACCATCCCTCCCCATAAAGCATCCAATAGCTTGTTCTTTCCTTGACCTCCAGGTGGGTTCATGGGCTTCTCCAAGGAAAAGCAGGAGTAAAGCTATGCATGCACGGAAGACTGCGAAACAGTAATCCAGTAATACGGGATGTATGCTTGGAAAGCCTTGCCTTGGAGTGTATAGCATGGGTGATACTGTGGAACACTGGAAGATGCTGTGCTGATATGGGATCTTCACACATACACACACACACAGAGAGAGAGAGAGGTGCTACATAAGTGGGGTAAGAAAGATTGCATTCACTGTCACTGCAGACCCACAACCTTTAATAGCTACACAAATACGAATAATATAATACGAAACACAGCCAACTTAGGCATCGTATCATTGAATGCTACATGTCATCCTCGTGTCAAGGTAACACTTATTTGATAAATGGAAAGGTGCATCAACAATACAAAGTTACATGTAAACTGGAACGTAATATAACCACTATTACAGGCCATTTAAAGAAGCCTCAAAGAGGAAGCTGTGGAGAAAAGATAAGCCAGTAAAATACATAGAAGGTACAGGAGTGTTTAAGGGGAATAAAGTGAATGGACTAGATTTCTCCCCTATACCCAGCATGTTTCCTTAAAGACCAATCAAATTTCTCAGTAAAGAGAAAGGAATGGTGTGCACTGAACTAGCATATTATATGACCAAGTCAGAAGGCTGACAAATGGAGTTAGTTACTAAAGCTACCTTCTCCGCTACCTTCCCACAACTCAGGAAGCTGCTTTGAGCACGTACTTGATCATATCAGATTGCACTGGTATTATTTACCTTTCCCTTTACCAGTTTGGCTTCATTGGTTTGCTACAGTTCTGAACATGGAAAGATGGAATTTGATACATATAATTTGTAAACCTGCTCTGTGTTTGTGGTGTACTATAACCAGAGATGTATTTTGCACTTTTGAAGAAGGTTCACAGTTATGTTTCAGGAAAAGCCAATTCTACATTTTGAGTTAGTTAAACAAACTTCCATTTAGCGTTTCAGCTTGCATAATTGATTTGCAAAACTCCTAGGGTTTTTCATTCATAGATATCACGTTGAATTACCAAGTAATTGTTTTTCCCATGTATAGATTGAGGACCAAAATAGCTGACAGATAGTGGCTTGTACAGTATCATATTATTTGAGGGAGGAGCAAATTCCCAGATTGGGATTTTGTTTCCATTGCTAAAGTCTGGCAGTCACTACTAGACAAGCTACTGAAGTTTGGTCACAGTTATGATGGCTTTTTATGATTGAGATGGGTGCCGAGAGTGCTATTCCGAACCATAAATCCTTGCAATGTTCAGGGCAGGGTGTTTTCAGCTCTTCAAAGGAAGGGAAATGCCAATGCACTTTTTCTTCTGATGTCACTGTTGCTGCTGCTTTCATAAAATAATCTGGAGAATCTGGAAGGGGCCTATAAGCCCAACCTGCTGCTCAATGCAGGAATACAAATCAAAGAATATCTGCCAGGTGGTTGTCTAAACTTCTCTTGAATGACTCCAACTCACCAACTCTCAAGGTAATTGGTTCTTACTGGTCTTACTGCTCTAACAGGACGTTTTTCCTGCTATTCAACTGAAATCTGGCTTCCTGTAACTTGAGCCCATTGTTGCGTGTACTGCTGTCTGGGACGATGGAGAACAGATCCTGCCCCTCCTCTGAATGACAGCCTTTCAAGTATTTGAAAAGTGCTATCACATCTTCCCACAGTCTTATTTTCTCAAGGCTAAAAATGCCGGGTTCTTTCAGTCTTTCCTAGTAGGCCGTGGTTTCCAGCCCCCGATCATCCTTGTTGCCCTCCTCTGAGCTTGTTCCAATTTGTTGGTATCCTTTTTGAACTATGATGTCCAGAACTGGACACAATACTCAGGATGAGGCCTAACTACTACCAAAAAGAGGGGAACTCAGTGGCATCATCTGTTGCTTGCAGCAATCCCCTCATGGTGCTATTTTGATGACAGTATCAACAAATGGGTGTCAAAGCTGCTGCAGAAATGGACTTGCCAGCTATATGTGACCCAGGTCCTAGAGGTATGCTTAGCTTAGGGATGCCTGTTATGGGCCAGAATGTGGTTCATGCCAAGTACAAAATGGAGGAACTAACTGACAGCAAAACAGAAAATGCCAGCTATGTTCTTTTGCTCATATTTCCCTCTCAGACTGCTTATCCCCCAGAAGTGTCGCCTCTATTTTCATACATTAACTAAAAATTAGACAGGGAAAATTAGTGTGTGTGTGTGTGTGTGTGTTTTTAAGAATTTCCTTAGTTCTCTTTCCTTCCCCCTGCCCCATGATGCAATTTTTAAGAGGAATTTTTAGAGGTAATTAGCAATGGCCAACTTATAACACAGGGGCTTGTTGTGATCACATCAAATGTACTCTTTAGTGAAGAAATACAATGAGAGCATGACTGGCGAACCCCTAGATAATGTTCCTACCTGGTAGACTAGGGGTGCTTCCACATGAAGGGCTCATCTTACTACAGTACAATAAGAAGGCACTATGCAGTGATTACATCATTTTCTCTTTAACATATTTTGTACAGGAAGAAAACAAATGGAAGAAATATGAAGGGCTATGAGTGGAGAATGCTGTGATCTGAAGTCCATGTCAATGTCAGTTGATGGCAATGAAGAAGGAATATGGGGTGATATAAGCCTTCTATGGAACTGCTCTATGCTAGCCATTAGAGGCAATGAGAAAACACACTGCAACACACAGAACTCTCGATTCCTGGCTGGGAACATCTTCATGTCCTCAGAGGTTAGAAACCTCTTTTTAAAATATAAGGCAAAGGTATAAATATGAGGATCTCTCTCTTTTTCAACCTTTTCAGTTAGGTACTTGTGTAAAATTAGACTTCATGCAATTCTGGCTATAATTCGGGACTCAAAATGAGAGAAGTTGTTATATTAGCTTAGTGTGGATGTGGGTTAATGAGTGGGGTATTGTTCTTGATGATAAAGAGATAAACTAAATAATTCTCTCACTCCTTATAACTCCATGATTTCCCCATGGAACTTCAATCCCTGCAGTGCAGGCAAATCACTACATTCTACATTGCAACTGCCATTATTTAAGAATGAGCAAATCCATGCAGACATGCAACCATTCAGTGACTGGTTAGATGGTAACTAACACAAGCTGATTTCATGACATTTGGAGAAAGCACAACAATAAAAGGCACACCTTGGCCTATGTAATGCTTCAAAGCAGCAGTAAAAACTTGTTTGGTTGTTGAAACCATAACACTGGTCTATATGCTACTATGTGCCCTGATTATAATCATGGGTCCAGGATCTTCTCCATCTTCATGACCATTAAAAATGCCCATTTAAGACCTCCATTAACTTGGGCATGAACTTTTTTCCTGTTTTTATTAAATATATATAGTTGAAACGATTACCAGTCATTTTCATTTTGCCCAACCTGTGGTGGCTTCCCCATTGATATAGGCAAAGCCTGGAAAGTGTTGCATGTGCTCATATTCAGAATTTCTCCGTGTGGTCAATGGTGCATACACATCACTGGAATTCCCATATCTTGTGGAGTGCATGGATGGAGTTGTGTAGCAAGCATTTGCTGACGGTACCTCTGACCAGCGAGGAGTTACTGGGGTTGGATGCAGTCTTGGGGTACTGCTCATCAAGCAGGGCTCCATTCGTGAGGATGGGCTGTTGAAAGGATACTAAAGATAGAAAATCACATTATAAGTGTGTTAGGCACAAACACACACACATTTCAGGAAGGAATATGGCAACTATCTCAAACTTCTATAGCAACAAAACAAACAGGAATTCTTTCAGAACTTTGGCTTTTTGATAGTTTGCAGTCCAAAATCACAAGAAATATGTAAATGATAGCAAAACTGGCTCAATGCATTTTAAATCAATATGCAACAATTCCACCCCTCTTCCAAATAATTATTAAACACAAAGGCCAGTGTCCTATTGCTAGTCTTGGCTAGAGTAGACCAATTGACTCATTGGTCTACTTTAGTTCGGAGCTCATGCATCATTCAGCAACTGATTTAATTGCTCTCATGCTAAATATTTAATGTTTAATATTAAATATTTATATTAATTATTATACTTTATCCATATATTTTTTGTTTGAAAAAGAAGGCTCAAACCATATTTTATGGTTCCTGCTTGTTAATAAAAACAATTGTTCAAAGCAGTGGGAGTTCTGTATTTCAAACAATAAGAAGTGCTGGGTGCTTTAAAAATGAAGGACATGTTTCTGATCTCCTCACAGCTGTGGCAAGGAAGAGAAGGGAGGAAAAAGGATGTAGATGCAAAGTCAAAGCAAGGTATTTCTGGTAACACCAAATTCTCTCTCTGTCACATGGACAGCATAAATGAACTATCTGTACTACTAGGCATTAGAATGTGGTGACAGTATTTCTAACCTATACATTTAGAGCTGTCAGAAACTGTATACCAAAACTGTAAGGAGTGTGCTTTTGGAGGGATCTAAGTTACAGATAATCTAGCATCGTGTTTCCTGTAGTAGCCGACTAGATACTCCAGGAAGCCCACAAGGAGAAAATCAAAATAGTAGTTAATTGATGTCCTGTGTCCCACATCTTAATTGTTCTCTTGCACAGTCTCTGAAAACAGAGATCAATTTAGCCATCCTGCTAACAGATTCTGATAGAATTGCCCTCTATAAATTTGTCTGATACTTTTAAACAATATCATAGCACTGATAAACTGATATCACAGCACTGTGGTAGTGAAATTGAATTCAGTGTAAGAACACCTATGGGTTGAAGGTAAAGGCAAATTAAGCAAGGCTGACTCAAAACACTGTTGCTTGAGGCAAAGAACAAGACAGTGCTCTATACCCAGTTCACACGCACAAGCTGACTAGGACTGACAGAATTATGTTACAACACTGGCAGTGTAGCAGCATCTTTTTTCCACAATCGAAAGCTGCCAAGGCTGAACACTCAGCTTCCTGAGATGAAAGACAAAATGGTCCCCCACCCGCAGAGACTGACTGCAATGGTAGTTTAATCTGACTTCAGCGCTGGCAAAAAAGGATAGTCTTTTCCACTATAAGTGAGTAAATAGGCTACTTTATGGGCAGCAGGGAAGTTGGGTGTCACACACAGCTCTGTCCTTCACCAGGGAGGTGAAGAAGTTGCCAGAAAGTTCAGGAGGTGCAGCCAAGAGACTGCCACTGCAGCCTGCAGTTGTCCCATGCTGTTTAGTGATAGAGTTGCCCCATTACTAACTAACACTTTCAAGGCCTAGACCAGTTATGGACAACCTTTTCCCCTTTTCATTGGCAGTGCCATTTGACACTTGGGTGAACAGAATTCCTAATATATGCTGACTTGCTTTCCACTTTTCATTAACATTCCAACACAACCATGCTGACCAGAAAGCAAGGGCTGCAAAAACAAGTGGGACAGGAATACAGTGTGCTGCTTCTCTGTGTGGCCAAATACCCCCCGACGCAGCTGTGTTTATGAATGTGTCATGAATATAAAAAAGAATAATTGCTCCAAAATAATACAAACCCCTAAATATCTAGTAATTTTACAATATAATCTGTGATGGCTAAATCCCCAGCATGGAAAGATTTGTAATGGTAGGTCAGCTAATTGCAAATGAGTCAGTGACTTCTTTTTCCTTCCAGTGAAGAGACTATTGAGAGACAATATTTTTAAAGTCCGCCTCGGCCCCTGCCTGGCTATTAACTCAACCAATGAAGCATCTATTCAGCCTTGTTGGAGTGTCCAAAGCTTTGCCATCTGCGCGGATGCCTGCCCAAGCTGCCTGAATCACCTTTCACACTTTGCATCCGGTTTAATGAAGAGTGCTTAAGCACGCTGATCTCAAAACACTGGGGCCTAGTGATCTTTGCCAGATATAAAGGCGACATTTGTTGGAGAGCCCTTGACAGGAAATTACCATTTTCTGGGTCAACTCACTTGCCACCACCACGCCATAGAAACTTGACAAGAAACACTAACCCCTTTAAGTTGGGGTGACTTTAAGCCGATTATTGTTAAGGCCCTTTCTCCGAGTTTCCCCAAAATAAAATTAGCACTGTTTCTTTCCGTTATTATTTTAGAAAATACTATTTTAAGTGTCTTCACCACCCAATGAAATTCGAGTTCCCTATGAGTCGGGCTGAAGAATAATCTCTTTCTTCTTGGCCTTCAGCTTTCTGGCTAATTATGCAAAGAGGTGAAAGGTGTCTCTGTTCAAACAGCAAAATATTTTCCTTATGAATGCAGCTCCTACTTTATTCTGGTTTTACTCACAGTTTAGAAAGTGCATGATAGCTCTCTACAATATATATCAGAATTTACTCTTCAGATTCAGAACTCAGTGAAGCTACTTCAGCTCTCTTTAGAAAAATTACAATCAATCATCACAAAATCTGTACCGTAAAACTAAGTAGTAATTACTACAGATTTTAAAACTGATAAATGTATATAAATGTTTATCTAAAGTTTTTCCAGTGTTTCCTTGCAACCACTGAAACAAAATTTAAATTGTTCTTCAAAACCTGAAAGAGGGTAGCAACACAGATTTATTAAAATCACTGGAGAATATACTAGTGATTTCAGGGTGGTTTCTATTAATTCTTGTAATTAAAGTTAAGGTGTGGTGGTTTTTTGTTTGTTTGTTTGTTTTACTATTTATAAAGTCACAAGAACCTTTCCCTGATGAATTTCTATCTGTCAGGTTGCTGGTGAGGGTCTAGGCAAAGGCCCTACTAAGTGCAGCAACCCATAGCAAGGATTTAAGAAAATCCATTTAATGTCCATTTCAAGAGATCAGTGGGATCTATACAGGACTCTTACATCAGACTTTGCCAAGTGGTACTGCCACTGATGTGTTGAATGACAACCCATACCACGTATAGCCATGCTGTCTGGAAACAATGGCAGTTATTCTCTGGTATACATCAAGGAGACCAGGTTGGAAAGCTTGGCTTGGTGACTTTCCAAAAGAAAAGTAACAGAAACAAATTTTAATTTCAATACCAGCACAAATGTTGTGTCAGAGAAAACCAACAAAAAAGCTCAAGGCAGCTTAAAGTCTAACCAAGACTATTTTATATAAGTTTTTGTGGATTGTGATTTGCTTCTTCAAATGTTCTTCAGAAGATTGTCAGCTTACAGTCCACAGAACTTTGTGCCATATAAAACTTGTTAAGAGTATTTGTTGGTTTTGCTGCAATAGGCTAAGATGGCTATCCCCTTGGCATTTCTATAGTGGAAAACAAACTGTGTTGGTATTTCATTATTACGTAACATACTCATGTAGAATTGTTTTGGGATGAGGAATGGCCATGCTGTAGTCTGTTTATTTGTAATGTACTGTAATAAGAATTAGCTCTTATTACATTGAAACGGGGAGTACACAATTTCTATAGAGTACAGTTATTTACTGTCAACTCTGGCATCAGAGCTAGCATTTGACTCAGAAAAAACAAGCTGCTTCCTGGTTCAACATAATTTCACTTCAAAACCTAGCCTATGCTTGCCTGATAAACAGGGAATCATTTTAGCTATGACCAATATGTTTATGGAAAAGACACTCTCAGAGTTTATTACCTATGTTAATAATGCTATTGTTATTCTGAAATTTCACTTTCCATGTCTTTATCCATCACTTGCTCCCGGCCCTCACAATTTAACCTATGTCTAAATTTTTCAATTCACATTTCTGAGGAAGTGGATAGTAATCCATAAAAGCTCAAATAGATCTAGCAGTCATTAAGATGCCACAATACCTTTGTTTTTGTTTTAAATATATTCTGTAACAGACTAATATAGCTGCCTCTTTGAAAACGTCTAACCGAAACATATTTGGGGCATTTGTTGTTTAAAAGAATAAAAATAACATATCCCTTTTCTTTTCATTTAACTTTCTGAGCCACAAAATCTACAAATGGGGAAAAGAACTGACCTGTGAAGAGCTTCTGTGATAAGCAGAATAATGAAGTGGTGCGGAAATAGTGCTGTCATGTGGTAAAGATGGATACTGGCTCTGGATTGGGTGAGGATGCTGATTCCCATAGCTACCATAGTTATAGCTCCCTGTGTACCTAAAAAACATAAAATATACTTATCATTAATACAAAAAAGTATATTGTCTAATATATTAGCCACCCAAACAAATTTCTCTGTTCAAAAATCACTTTTATCATACTTTGTAAGGAAAGCACCTCAGGCAGTCCTGAATTGATTTAGCCAGACAAATGAAAATCCTTCCTATGGGCCTAAATCTAGAGTAAACCCACTGGATTAAACGAAACTTTGTAAGTAATGACTCACATATGTTCCATTGATTCATCTGGATTGCCCTAGTCAAGACTAACTATGGGATTTAGGCTTTATATTTCAATTCCTGGTCAGAATAATTTCTGACTCTCTCAGATTCTGAGAAAAAGAGTGGAAGCTACACATGACATCAGGCTTTGACAATATGAGTTATTGCTTACTGTCAGATTGGTAAGTATTTATAATCCAATAAAGTTAAGGTTCCCGTTTTATTTTTTAAATGAGGCAGCTCCTTGCCTCCAAACAATCCACATTTGTAACTACTGTATCAGAAAGTAACCTTGGGATTCCAGGTTCCTCTTCATCAGCAAAACAACAGCATCAACAAAAAGCAATTGGGTGAGGATGCTGATTCCCATAGCTACCATAGTTATAGCTCCCTGTGTACCTAAAAAACATAAAATATACTTATTAATACAAAAAAGTATATTGTCTAATATATTAGCTACCCAAACAAATTTCTCTGTTCAAAAATCACTTTTATCATACTTTGTAAGGACAGCACCTCAGGGAGTCCTGAACTGATTTAGCCAGACAAATGAAAATCCTTCCTATGGGCCTAAATCTAGAGTAAACCCACTGGATTAAACGAAACTTTGTAAGTAATGACTCACATATGTTCCATTGATTCATCTGGATTGCCCTAGTCAAGACTAACTATGGGATTTAGGCTTTATATTTCAATTCCTGGTCAGAATAATTTCTGACTCTCTCAGATTCTGAGAAAAAGAGTGGAAGCTACACATGACATCAGGCTTTGACAATATGAGTTATTGCTTACTGTCAGATTGGTAAGTATTTATAATCCAATAAAGTTAAGGTTCCCGTTTTATTTTTTAAATGAGGCAGCTCCTTGCCTCCAAACAATCCACATTTGTAACTACTGTATCAGAAAGTAACCTTGGGATTCCAGGTTCCTCTTCATCAGCAAAACAACAGCATCAACAAAAAGCAGTATATTATGAAATGGTATGTGACCTACCCATGTTCTTCTCTGTGGGAATAAACAGGTATTCTATGTGTGACAGATGAAGGAGGTACATGTGGATTTCTCATACAAGGCAGTTGTTGAGAGTTTTCAGCAGGTGACCCAGCAGCTGTTGTTACAGTGTATGTGAGAGACCATGTATAAGACTGCATGGCCCCTGTGTAAAGTAGAAAGGTCCAGTTAGTTTTCAAATATTTTTGAGATCTCATTGAAATGCAGAAATGTAGTCTGCACATTTTTCAGAGGGTGACGATGGAACATTAATTACTGTTCAGCAACGGCTGTCCCAAGATTTTTTCCCTCCCTGAAGCAAAGGACAAGATGGTCTCCTTCTTTGTTTCAACTGAACTGGCTCATGAACCTAATTTCTAACACTGATGAGTAGATCACTTCCTGTACCACACCTGGTGGAAAGAGCTCAAAGAGCTCAAGGCAGGCCACTTATATGGCATAGAAAGTGCTATCCTCCAAGACAGGGTTAAAATATGCGTTCATTTTACTTATGCCATGTCTTTCCACACTAAGATGGCAAAGAGGGCCCACAAGAGTAAAAGATATAATTCCAATAAAAAATAATGAAAGTGATTACCAAATGCACAAATGAACTCTTGAAAAACAAGACCAGTGGTTTTTTTTTCCTTTACAGCATTCAGTTTAAATTTACTGCAGCTATCAGCCTTCAGGAGATCATAACCAAGCTTAGGAAGCCTGATTTTTTTCCGAATTTATTTTTGCCTGATAGCAGAAAGCAAGGAAGATGGGAGCTGGAAGGATTTTCCAACGGTTCCAGGTCCACAGAGAATGCCCTCTCTCATGCATCTCCATCAAACACCCCTCAGTATGTGGAGGATGCATTAGAGGGCCAAAGCTGCAGATCTAGGTGGTCCAGTCATATAGATGTCTTGCCTCTGAACAACTTTAAAAAATCCTTCTGAATTAAATAATAGTTAAATAAGCATTTGTATTTAGCACTGTATTTAAACAATGTGGCTAGAGTGGTAACTGGGGCTACTTACAGGGATCACATAACACCACCACCACCACCACCCCATTACAGCAGCTCCACTGGCTGCTGATCCATTTCTGGGCACAATTCAAAGTGGTGGTTTTAACTTATAAAGCTCTAAATGGCTTTGGTCCAAGCTGTCTTTAATTAATTAATTAAT